ATTTATGAAACATCATTTAATAACTCATTGCCGTTATATTAAAGTGACCATCCACCTTATGTTTTTAGAAGCTCTATTCTTTTGCAAGCATCCAGAAATTTTTTAGGTCACATCTGAACATTCTAGATTTGAAATTTATACACATTGAATTTAGAACAGAATATAAAGGTCTGCCAGAGTAGCATCTTGAATATTAAACTTTCAGCCTTGACTATGGGGATATACATCACATGCCTGTGCACCTTTGCTATAATTTATACACGTCACATGCACATCTTCTCTCTCATACGTTTCTCTACTTGGCCCACACATTCATACACATACATGCATGCAATGAAACAAAGAAAGCATAAACATATTAGTTGCCCTTCTCATATTCATTGAATGACAGAAGTTTGTTGGAGAAATTATAGCTATTCTGTTCCTTGTTCAGCTGGCAGAGGTTATAAAAGGTATGTGGGATTAATTGGATATCTTGATATGTGTGTGTCAGTCACATAAGGACTGTGTCTTCTATATTCTCAGTTACTGGGATTGTGGGGCATTGGGTACATGCTAGTGGAACATGAATTGCCCCAAAGCATAAGTTCTACCACACAGGATCTAGGTCCATATCCTAACCCCACTAGTTATCAGTTGAGAGATCAAGTATTTACATGCCCCGAGCTTCAGTTTCTTCATTAGTAAACGGCGTTAGGGTATCAACCATAGGTGGTGGCTGCAAGACACCTCATACAGAGATATCCCCCTAGGTTTTTAATGATCACTTGCTCATTAATTGATAAACTTGTCTCAGAAAAGGTCTGGACTTACTGCTAACCATTACTTTCACAGACTCGCCTGTTTTACAGCTATATAGACAGGTGTTTGAGAATATAAGAAATTAAAACAGGAATAGCAAAGCTTTTTAGTCCATTTTGCTAATTAATATGTCAGAGCTCATAAAGAAGAACTCATCGGCTTTCTCCAGTACTGCATCATCTTAAAGAGCTGGGTCAGCAAAGATCTCTGCAGACAGTCAATACATATTAAAACAGTTCCAAGCAGTAAATCAAAACAAAAAAGAAAAAAAAAAAAGGAAGCAGAAAGACGATGACACTAAAAATAAAAAAATAAAAAAGTAAAATTTATAAGCCCTTTCTGTCTGGATGCAGAGGAGCATTAAACTATTGGTTTCATTGTCAGTTCATCAGTTCAGTATATAGAAAAAAATAAGAAAGGATTTCTTCTCAGACTTACTTTATGATTCTAAGTATAACCAAAATTAAAGCCTAACAATAATAATACAAGCTATGTCAAATTTGATGTCATTTTCTCTGGATTCTAGTGTTCCCTAAGATTTGTCATTTTAAAAAATGGTTTTATTGTTTAAAATATACACCTTTCTGTTTTGTTTTTTTTTCTTTATACGTGGGTAGGATTTGAATTTTGTCAGAATTCAATTAGTGAGATAGAGAAATAGGTAAAGACATTTTTGGCTTTCCAAGGCTCTCTGAAACTTGTGATTTTTCTTAAAGGAGGCAAATGAGAGATAATTTATAAGTTCTCTAGGAAGATCTCACCATTCCATAGAGATAAACACCTCTCATATGTGGGGCTGGACCCCAAAAGATTAGAAACAGTATAGTCATCCTGCTGTCTTCCTTGCCAGGGTAATGAGATACAATGTACTGTTAGGGGAAGCCTGGGAAACAGGTTACTAGAGGAGTCACAAGAATACTGGACTTATTCCAGAAGGGGTGAGGGGAATGCTACATTTTGGGCCAAAAATGTTAGGGAGATTTATCTTACCTGGGATTTTGATTTGATCTGAGCTCTAAGGAATCAACCATTTCAAGATTAAGCCAAGCAAAGGGTGCCAAAATTTTTGTCACAAATTTGGGAGGTACCCAAGCCAGACCAACAGATGGAACTTGGCATGAAATGGCTCCTTACGCACTAAGTAGCTGACTCAGAAGAAATTTTAACTCATATGAATTTATTAAAATGTAGAATATCATCTCAAATAAGAGGATGGATGACAGAGTTAGGTCAGCACACATAATTTAATTTAACTTCCTGTTGGTCCTGGATAGTATAAAAGCTGCCCACATTTGTATAATTAAAGAGAAAGAGAGAGATACTCTTTCTTCCTAGCACATAAAAAATTGTGTTTTTACCTAAATATTATGAAGAAAGGATCTCAGGAAGAATGGATATTGCAACAAACAGAGGTTGAGTGATCCCTTTTAACACTGGTGAGACAAGTATGATCTCAGAATTTTACAAATTAAAATACAACCTGGCAACTTGTTTAGTGGCCACAGACTGCCTGTAGTGGATCCTTGCTATAGTTATATGTTAGGTGAATTTTTAAAATGATTTTGTAACTGAAGGAGGTTATGAGAATCAAGAGGAACTTTAATTCTCTACTGCTACCACTACACCACCAGCAGCAACAATAATAACAATAAATTCTTCTACATAAATGCAACACACATAGGGGAGTGACAGTAACATGAGGGATGAGTTCCTGAGGATCATTATAATTCAAGACTAATTTTCCAAAAAAAGAAATGTAAAAACTTAGGGAAGGGTATATTCTTCGGGTGTATAAATTTATAACCTTAGTTGCCTATTTTTCTTTAACACTGCTCTGTGTTTTCTTGCAAATGTCTCTAACATTTCAAAGGACACCCTCATTTAATGTAGCTCTAGAATATATAATGTCAGGTGACTGGCCCTCTTCATTGCATGTCACTTTTGCTCCAAAGTTACCAAGTTTCTGGTTGCTTTTCGGCAGTTCCACAGATGCCCAGTGAAAAACTCAATTATGTACTGATAGAATATAAAAGCATTTGTAAAATACAGTAAATGTTAGAATAACAGTAATAGAAATCTTCTTTAAAACATCAAATGTATTTACACAGTAGAGTTGGTGAGATATAAAGACTTCTGGAATTATTTCTATCTACCAGCTAAAGTGAAGTCACCATGTGGATTTTCCAAGGACCTGCCTGATGGCTTTAAAATTCTGCCACTTTTGACTTTTATTTTTTAATTTTGGAAAGTTATTCCTTCAAATTTTGTATGTAGAGTAGTTCTTTATTAATATTTTTATATTATACTACATAAAACAGATCATTCCAATTTACTTAAAATATTATAGCAATATATCAATACTAAACTTGACAATGTTCTCATTTAAAAAGAGTGACAATAACTTTTAATTACCTGCTAACAGTCATTTGTTAAATTAAAAGTAGACTAAGATTCGACTTCCCCCAAAAAATCCAGAAAGCTTATTATTTGCTCATTTTGAAAATCCAAATTGATAAACATTCTTAAAAAATCAAATCACTTCCACTTTTTACCTTGAAGCGTCTCCCAGTGCATTTTAAAAAAGGTTTTAATCTTCAGGTATTAACATATATGAGAGAACTAAAAGCAGTATGATTCATTTAAGATGAAAATAATGTAGGCTATCCTTGGGGCTCCTTGGTCATGAGAACTTCCTTCTCAGGCTCCTAAAAATATTTCCAGCGGTGGAGAGTTTAATGGAAGTGGAAGATGGGAACAAGCAGCCTGCCGCAATTTATCATTCCCACAGACATCTTTTCCTTCACAGCGATCTAACCTCTTAGACTCTTTATAAGGAGGAACAGGAAACAAACAAACAAACAACAAAAAAAAATAGAAAATCTAAGAGTTGTGAACCAGCCCTTCCCTGCTGCTATCACTAGAGAATGTGGAGAAAGAAGAAAAGAAAAAAAAAGAATCAAAATCTCCCCCTGGAACATGAAGGGGGTGATGAGGCATTGAGGCCACGTATTGCTGCAAACGTAATTGGCACAGACGCACGGGAGATGCTCGGTGACGGGAGAGGCTTCTTTGTTTCAGAAACAGAGGGATGCCAACAAATCGTAACCCTTCTGTTGTTTGCAGTGGCAATTCTAAGAGTAAAATGGGTATTTCTTTCCCAAAATAACATACACTTAGAAGAAATGGATTTCTGAATTATTTACTGACTTTGTAGCTTTAAATGTTTTCAACTAATGTGAATAAATGATGATGAAGACATAGAAGGCAGGCTACCACAGCTTGGCTTTAGGGGAGAATGTACCTCGTATGTAGTAGTAGAAGAGCAAGGAGACCCTCAGAAATCCTGGGGACTTCCTAGGGAACCTCAAGAGGGCTCATTCATGAGTCTAAAGAAAGATAACACAGTCATCTCTGACACAATCTTTTTTGATGACAGATAAAAAGATTATTCTTTCCTCTCTCTCTCTCTCTCTCTCTCTCTCTCTCTCTTTCTTTCTTTCTTTCTTTCTTTCTTTCTTTCTTTCTTTCTTTCTTGACAGAGTCTCACTTCATCACTGTAGCTCACAGCAACCTCAAACTCCTGGGCTCAAGCAACATTCCTGCCTCAGCCTCCCGAGTAGCTGGGAGTACAGGCATGTGCCATGACACCCGGCTAATTTTTCTATTTTCAGTAGAGACAGGGTATCACTGTTGCTCAGGATGGTCTCAAATTCCTGAGCTCAAGCAATCTTCCCACCTCCGCCTTCCAGAGAGCTAGGATTACAGGCGTGAGCCACCGTGCCCGGCCTATTCTTTCTTGAGGAGATGGAAATGTCCACGTCTTTCTTACCCTGGAATTCTCTGTCCTGCTGCTTTAACGTGAAAGTCATCATGGGAAAGAATTTCAAACTTTCTTGGGTTTTATTTACAACTTTTTTTAAGTGTTCAGCTGGAAGATAAGTTTAAGATTTTTGGTTTTATAATTATTTTTTTGGAAACCTTTCTTCTTTCTTCTCAAACATTTTGAGTCAGCATACATTATGCCACTGTACACACAGCCAAGCAATAATTCATCTTTGTGGAAGTCAGAGACATCTCATGTATTAATTAGAAAGCCTTTCAGTGAATAGTGGATAGAATCAGGTTCCAACTGCTACTAAAGCACAGCCAGTGATTTCCAGGAAGAGGGAAAATAAAGTCAGTTACAAGGAATATCTTACCCGATTTGTGTTCAGCCAGTGAATGAACTTTGCTTTCATCTGGCACTGAGGAGAAGAAATAAAAGAGACAAGGATCAGATCTGCTTGTAAATCAGACATTTTCTGAACAATAAATTAATATAGATTCACAATAAATTAAATCTCTTACTGGCAATGATTTGAGGAAGTTTTTTCTCCTGGCCTACCCCAGGGTACCTGATTTTTATTAGATGTTTTAAAGGTAACTATGAAGAAATATATGTTTATTAGAACTTCTATAAATATAAGATCATATTCTCTTAATTTTCAGTAATTTCAGTTCTTTTGCCCGGGTTGTTGCTTACATATCTACAACAGGAGAAACTAAATTCATGGAACTAGAGATGTATAATATATTAATACAGTAAAAGTCTTTGAGTATAACAACAATATATATATTCAATACTTAAGGATTAGACTTTGTATCTGGTTAAAATGGAGTAAAAGAAACAGATTTATAATTCCCCCCGCCCCCAAATTTTTTAAAAATAGATAAAACATGAAACAAAGGCATTCAACTGATTAGACATCAGCTGACAAAGACAGTGACTGCCAAGAGACAGAGAACAAATGAGGCGAGCTCTACAAGTGCCCAGCTTACTGTCTGGAGAAAGTTTCCAGGCAGCTGTATATGCAGAACTCGTGATGTCCCTGGCTTAAAGACATGGTGTTAGATGTCCAGGGAAGCCAAAGTGGATGGAGTTTGCGGGGCAGAGACCCAGAGAGAAGACAGCAATACAGAATTCTCTGATAGCTTCAAAGAATCCGTCTTCAGTTAAATACTGATGATCACACGTATGCGTGGAAATTACTTGAGACCTCACAAAGAACCACACAAAAGTGGAGAGGGAACAGTGTCTGAAGTCCACACGGGGCAAGGAATAGTGCCTATTCCCAGCAGTCGGAGCAGAAAACTTCATAATTCAGGGGCACGAGGTAGAAGATGAACAAGGGTCTTGCCTCAATAGTGGGGAAAAATGAATCCTAGATTAACACAGCTCTGATGAAATGGATACATCTTTAAAAGACACAAATTACCATAGTGTATATAAGAAGAAATAGATAATATGAATAGCCCTAGAGTTACCTTTTAAAAAAACGAGTAAGGAAAACTTTCCCCAAAAGAAAACTCTAGGTCCAGATGACTTCACTGGAGAATTCTACCAAACATCTAAGGAAGAAATAACACTAATTCTATAGAAGCTGTACCAGAAAATAGAGGAGGGAGGACTTCCCAACTCATTCTATGAGGCTATTACTACTCTAATATTAGGAAAAGACATTATATGAAAACTATTAATCAATATCCTTTATGATGAGCATAGACGCTAAGTTATTAATCCTTATGTGGCTCTGCTTGGATTACTACTTTAATATTCAACAAAAACTGGTCCTTATTTACCACGTGCCACTGCTTATGTTAGTCTATAAAATTCAGGTGCTCAAGAGTTGAAGCAAGATGAGGAAACTTCCTTAGAAGGAGGTTCTCCTCCATTTCCCAAACACTAGATTGGTCTCAGACTAATCTGAGTCCCTATTCTGTCTGCCCACAACATCCAGTCATTGAATTGACCCAGTTACTCTACACAATTTTACCACTGCCACGTGGCCCTTCTTCCCTCAGCTGCCTATTTTTTTATTGTCTAGATAGAAGGACTACATGTCTGTGATTATCCTGTTCTCAACGTCTTAAAAATCTTGTTCGACTTTTTGCTTTATTTCCAGTTGGGAAGTAAGTCAGACAATGTTTATCAGGCACTGATTGTGAGCCAAATTCTTAGTACTGAAAAACAATGATAATGATTTAAAATAACAATGGCAGCGTATATTTCTTGAGCACTTGTAATATGCAGGTTCTATGCACTTTGTATCTACTAATTCATTTAATCCTCATGATGACCTGGAGAGGTAGATATTATTATTATTATCATCCTTATGCTACAGAGAAAGAAACTGAGACCTCCTAAATGGAGGAGCCAGAATTAAAGCTGGCACTCTTAACCACTCCATTATACTTGTGATAAAAGTCATAGAAGAGTTACCATTTGGAACTGTGAAGAATGACCAATAGCATGAAGTATAAGAAAACATATAAACACCTATATTCTAGAAAATTATCTTTTTTATTTGAATATATGCTATTAACAGAAATGTTTCTGTGGTGACCAATATTAACAAGCATTAGCATAACTTGTTTTACATGTTTGGAAATCTACAATTCTAATAGGTTCAAGCTAAAACAGTCTTTCCCATTTCACAGATGAGAAATCATCTTTCTGAATTAGAATCCTTGCTGGGAAACTTTGTGCAAGTTATTTTAACTTTCTGTGCCTCTGCCTCATCATACATAAAATGAGGATAATACCGCTCACCCCATAGTTTTGTGATGATGATTACATGTGTAAGTATATGCAAAGTACTTAGAAGACCATATAGTAAATGCTTAATACATATTGACTATTGTCATTATCATTAATGAGAAACAAAAGAGAAAGACAGAATAATATGATAGCTAATAATGACACAGATGTGGGTTGAACGCAAGCGTTACTAAGCAAGTTACTAAACTCTTTTTAACCTTAGTTTCTCCATATAAAACATGGGGATAAAAACAGTACAGAGGGACTTGTGGTAGCTAAATGAAAGAAATGCACAAAAACACTTAGCATAGTGCCAGGTACATAATTCTCAAGAAATGAAAAATTGTCATAAATGGAAGCTTTGAGAGTGGTAAAGGTGGTGAATTTGGTGATGGTTGTGGTGTTTATGATTTCACTTGCTCAGGATTATAAAGAAATAGGAGAATATAATTGAGAGCATACCATGCTTCTACAGGGTGCTAGGTACTTCCACATTGTTATCTCATGGATCATTCCACACCCACAGCAGATATTACCTCCTGCTTTACCTGGCTCTTAGTTCAGCTTGTAGTGGAAGAAAGGCAAAGAAAACACACTAGACTATATGGTCTTATTATGTATAGTTATTATGAAAAAGGGATTCATACAAAGGTAAGGCTTTCGTTGTTCTGGTCCTTTTTTTTTTCTTTTTTTTAAATTAAATCTAACCTGATTTAAGTACTTGCGAATTCCCCAGCCAAATTAGGTTTAACAAGGTACCTTCTTAACTTTTTGGCTGAATAATGTCTATTATTTCTAGTAGGAATACTTATCATTATTTTAATTGACAATTTGAAATTCTCTAGAACACTAATACAAACTATTTTAAAAAACAGTGTAGAAAATCCAAATGGGTGATAGGCATAAAAATTAAAGGTCTTCCTCCAAAATATTCACTGACACAGATGTCTATCTTTAGGACAGAAGAGAAATGAATAAACATAATAGAAAAGAGAGGGAGCTGTAATGACTTAATTAATATAATACATTTTATTTAAAAGGTTAAATTTGGAACAATCATCTTTTATACACATGCTTAGTGCTGAGAAGCAATTTAAATAACAGTAGCAAATGAGAAAATGAGGTAAAATTACACATGCCATCAAGTTGTGTGTTTTTTATTTTAAATGGCAAGTGTTATAATTAATACCCAACTTCCTTTATAACTCACATTACCGTAGAGCTACTATTAAAGTTATCTCTTGGGGCAGGAGCTTAAATCTAGTACTTTCACTAGATAATAGGTAGATAGCACAGTGATTGGAATGGTAGCGATATGAATTATGACAGATGCATCATTTTACACAAGGGACTTATTTACAAGAAATGAAAAATTGAATGGGCCTGGCATGGGAAGGATTTCTATTTGAAAATGGTTCAAAATAGTTAAGTATTAAAAGCATCAAGTAAGAGGGTGCTGATGAACCAAAAGCTTAAGTTTCTTCTGCTTCTGATGACAGATTTTTTCTTTTCTTTTCTTTTTAAGGTTTTGGAGCCTATTTATTCCCTTCCTTATTCTTCAGCTTTACCCAAGGACTGGTACTACTTGCTCTTGATGATCTCAAAGGGATATTACACTAATTGAAGGAATATCAATGAAATGTTGAGTCTTTCTGAAGATGTAATTCATACATACTTTTATGGTAACTATTATTACCTACTTAGAGGGCACCATGGACATGCTCCTCTTGAGATTTCTCAGGTTTTATTTAGATAATAGGATTTCCATACTAACCTTATGCTTCCTGACATTCAACACAAGATTGATGAACATTATTTGATTTAATTACCATAAGGAGCTTAACGGAGAGGACAGTTTTTGGCTTGGATGCTTGTTAATTTCCTGGTGTGTTCTCTGATTCAGGAGGAGTTGTTTGGGACACTTAGCAGCCTGATGGCCTATGTTTCTAGTTCCCTGGCTGTGGGCCTTTGAAGCTGATTAGAACTTCCTGATGCCAGTGGCATCTTTTTATAAAGTGCGGATAAACAGACTGTGTCTTTTCATTTAATTTCGACCAGGTTCACTGTCAGAATTGAGAGAAGAAAAATATGCGAAAAAATATGTGAAAAAGATGGCACTCTGAGAACTTGTTAGTGGCAAACATTAAAGTGCACATAATACTTACATGCATTGGCTTCCCAGTAGGGCACATTTATATTAATATAGTGATCACTTAAAGTGTTTTATTCTTTTGTCAAACCTTCTTATACCCTTCAACAAATGCATTCTCACTGGGGGAAAACAATCCCCTTGCTTATTGACAGCATTTGATATGCATTCTATGACATAAGTGACTATTAGGGACTGCACTCGCTTAATAAAAATTTGCAGAACAGTGGCAGATTTGGTGAGTTAATGGGGCCCAGATGCTCTTCTTATGCTGACAGAAGATGGTATATTGCTAACATGCACAAATCTCTTCAGATAAACATTGCCATCAGCTACAGTTATTCTTTTTGAGAATGCCAACACTATGTCAAGAATAAGGAATATGCAAATGTGTTCAGATTCCCACTACTTCATATTGAGATACTTTGATGCAAAGTAGCACTCTATGATGCAATGCTGCTTTTTCATATTAATAGATAACTCCATTTCATTTAAGTTTTGATTTTCATATCTTTGAC